GTTGGTTCCTCATCTTCTTTCCTCTCCCCATGATGGAATGTCTTAGGTATTTTTCTTCCCTGATTATACCCTCTCCCTTTGGTGGTTCCATGTTATCTCATGGCCTTTAATATGATCTAACCAGTGATGATTCTAAATGTGTGCATTTGGAACAGGGGAATGTCTGGAAGACCTCTGTTTCATACCTGATTATCTAATAGTGAGGCAAATACATCCGAGTTTGTCCAAATCCTTCCCAATTTGCAAAGGAAAGTCCTCAATTGTGCCTTATTTGATATATTATTTGTTTTGGATTTTTCATTTTTTAATGAAGTATAATCATTATCATCTTAATTTCAAAAGTCAAAATGTGTTTGTGAGATCTTCACTTTGTACTTCTGTCTCCCATCTTGGTCTTGTATAGTAATGTGTAAGATGTATGGACAATATATAGAATTTACTTTTTAACATGTACTTATAATCAAAATAACCCATGTCTCTTTTCTCAACCCTTTTTTCTGATGAAATACAACCAATGACTTTCTCTCAAAAAAAACATGTAGAATATTTGCTGATTTAAAAACAATGTACTGGATACAAAAGATGGCTAACTACTTCTGTAGACAGATAATGATAGGGAACTATTGAAAGCCACTGCTGTAGTCAGCCACTTGGTGGACCCCAATTTTGCCACGGATACCACTATGGCTTGCAAAATACACAAAGATAGTTAATGAGGTCCTTAGGAAACACAGAAAGTTGCAGATTAAGTATACATGAAAATAAGTAGGAAATAAAAACTAGGAAATCAGATTATGAGTAGATTAGTCTAAATGTTCTTGTTACAGAAGTCTTGTCACTTTCTGTCTGGTATAAATCTATAGATACTTATTTATTGCTTGACAACAATTTAATACAGTAAAGAGACCAAAGGAAGGTCTCATTCATTCAAGGAGATTGTAGGAGATTGATGGGACTTCCTAAACTGTGTCCTAACTGAAGCTATTATGGTTGAGTGTAACCGATCCAACTTATTTCTAAATTCTACTGTATTTTATATTATATAGAAACTTCTGCAAAACAAGTTTCCAAAGTCATTCTTTATAACAAAATTAGATATTTTATTAGCCCAGAGGGGAAAATATTGATCTACAAAATTCTCCAGTGGGTTTTGTTCTGAGTTCTGAGTCACTAACTGCCATAGAAAGGGTCTATATGGCTAGAAATTTTAGTCCTGTTAACAGCACCTGAAGTGTTCTTGGTTCTCTCTGTGTTATAGTTGGCAATACCAGTACTGAGAGATTGGTAAGCAAATCAATCAAGAGAATTTCTGAGGCTGAGGTTGTGGCTCAGTGCTAGAACACTTGCCTAGTACGTGCAAGGTACTAGGTTTGATCCTCACCACCACATAAAATATATTGTTTGGCTTCAATTTTAGTTCCCCTTGTGTGTGTGAGTGTGTGTTTGTGTGTGTGTGTGTATATATATATATATATATATATATATATATATATATATATATATATATATATATATTCACAGGATCTAATAACCTTCATTGATAATTTCCAGTGTATTATAATACGAGTGTCCAATTCCCAGGAAGAATCATAATGACACTTTTAAAGAGAATACCTTGAAAAATGTTATAAAAGAAAACATTTTCATTAATTCTGTGAATGAAGGAAGGAAATGGACCTGTGGAGGGAGCAGTGGCCTTGGAGCAGGAAGATGGTTCAAATTCTGACCCATGTTCACCAAGTTGTAGGCTTTTTCTCACCCTGAAGTTCCTTAGAATAAGGATCTAGAAGAAGAAAGATAGCTCTGACATTTGAATCTTTGGTTCTTTCTCATAACCAGAGAGAAAAATGCTAATTCTTCAGGAATTGGCCATCCTTTCTGCAGAATTTTAGAGCTGACAGAAGCCTTTTGGATTAGGGATGCATGTTTTATTTTTTCTAGATCCAGTTTATTGATTCTTGTATCCTGGTATTCCTTCTATTCCATTGAGTTTTTTTCATTATTTTACAATTATTGAGCACCTACCATGTGTGAGACCCCTTGCTTAGGCACTGGGAATATCAGATGGCAAAAATCCAGTCTTGTTCTCAAGTAGCTCATAGTGTAATTGGAGTGGAAAGATACCTGCATTGGAGTCTGGACAAATACCAGCACAAGCAGCTTCTCCAGCACTTGAGATACCTTCCCTCCTGGTTGGATACTGTGTTCTGCCGGCTTTCTTCCACATCTCTGGCAGCCTTCCTGGAATTACTGAAAGCCATATTTAAATTTAAAACATTATTTTTAGAAAAAAAAATAGTTCATATTGCTCCTTCGTACCTCCTGCTCTTTAGGTGTGAATTCCACTTGTCAGAGACTGATGTCTATAGACAGATCTTCCTTGGTAAGGCAAAGTGACAAGCTCTATTATTTCTTTTCCTATCTGCAAAGTTTTATCAAGGATGGGTTCTTAAAATGAAGTTACACTAAACTTCTGGATCCACATGATAAAGTAAAATTTAATCCCGGGTTTGGGCACTAATGGCGCATACCTGTAATCCCAGCAATTCGAGGGGCTGAGGCAGGAGGATCTAGAGTTCAAAGTCAGCCTCAGCAAAAGTGAGATGCTAAGCACTTCAGTGAGACTCTGTCTCTAAATAAAATACAAAATAGGGCTGGGGATGTGGCTCAGTGGTTGAGTGCCCCTGAGTTCAATCCTTGGTACCCACCCTCCCATTAAAAAAAAAAAAAAATTAACCCAATCTTTCTCCTAACTTGCTATGGGAAAGTGATTTCACCCCTCAGTGCCTTGGTTTTCTAGTTGCAAAATGGAGACATGATTTGCTAATGTATTCTTTTCCCTTGTTAGAAATCATGAAGTTTTAGAATTATTATACAACCCTGTCATCCTAGGCAATTACTTCTATTACTTTGGTGTCCATCCCTATTCACATACCAACAAGTCCACAATCCACCTGATATCCCATCCAGAAAACGGGAAGCTAATATGGCCACATTTCTGTCTCCAACTGAAGAGCCAATCAGTCATCATGTCCCACCACCTAAATTTCTTTCAATGTATTTTCCCAAGTTAAGCCTCCATGTTCTCTTCCACGAGCTCTCTCCTAACTGGCCTGCTATATATACATCCTTTGCTTTCTTTCAATTCCTCCTCCCAAGGGCTGGGTGAGGAGAAAGTAATCTTTTGATGGTCTAAGTTCTATATACTGGTACTATATACTTGTTTTTGTAGTTGCTGTTGAGTTTAATAATTAATATAGAAGATTCGCAGTTGCTTGTTTTTAATATTTATCCTTTAGCATATACTATGTTCTACATGGAAGTGAGCTCAGAGCTTCCAGTCAGATGGTAGTGTACTTACCTATAACACATTCATATGGGGAGCTTAGTCTATGAGTATTTCAGGATTAGGGGAGTTCACTATAGTTACAGTTTATTTCTCCAATTCTGCTGGAACTACATATCCAAGCATTTAAACAGTGACTTACAGTGATTATAAAGATAAAGAAACAGAACTTGAGTTTCTTTATTTTATTGTTCTATGTGACTACATGGAAACTTTACATTTTTAAAATTTATTGCAGAAAACTTTAAGCTATAATCTCTTTGGGCATGTGCACCTTTTAGTTCATACAAAAATTAAAATAATGTCTTTAATGTTGAAAGTATTATAGGTATTGTATCAAAACTAAGCAATTCAAGAACATAATGATTACTGAAAATAATTTACCCTGTTGGCATAACTACATATTTGGTCTTTGTTCCTTGTTTTGGACACAGAGTTCTTAAACCCTTGGTATTTCCTGAGTGATGAGAGACTTTTATTCTAATAAGATCACTCTTAGTGGGCTCCTAGATAGCTCTGGGGTGGGAGTTGCTTGTCAAGAAGTTCAAACCTTGACTAAAGGTCTGGAACTTGGAGTTCTACTCCACAATCTCCAGGGAGGGGAGAGGGACTAGAGATTGATTTAATAATTGTTCTTGCTTACATTTAATTGTTCAATTTTGCCTTATGAAAAGTATGATTATGCTTCCTTCTTCACCTTGGCTGCTAGGAAACCCATATAGAATTTGTGAAATTAATCATCTTATAGGACAGAGGATATTGTGACATATTTTACAAACTAACTTTGGTCTGTTGAAACCCTTACACATTGAGATTCACGGAGTTTCTGGATTATTATGAAGGCACCCAGAGAGGGTATAGATTGGCTATGGCTCTTCTCATACCTTGCCATAGGCATCTTTAACATCTGGCCATTCCTGAGTTTTACCGTTTATAATAACCCAATAGTAGTAAGTAATGTCCTAAGTTCTATGAATTTTTTAGTAAATTATAAATCTTAGAAGAAGGGTTAGTGAGTACCCCAAATTTGTATCCAAGTCAGACAGAAGTATGGGTAACCTGATAATGCTGTATTTACAATTGGTGTCTGAAGTGAGATAGTCTTGGGAAATCAGCCTTTAAACATATAGAGTCTAATAGTGGCTTTGGGTAGTTAGTATCAAAATTGAACTGGATTGTGGGACACTTAGCTGGTATCAGAGAACTGGAGAACTGGTTGTTGGTGTGGAAAACCTCCGTGCATTTGATATTAGCAATGTTACAGGTGAAAAAAAAAAAAAAACAGTTCATTGTCCAGTAGAGGGTGTTAAAAAAATGATCTTCTCTCGTTAGCTGTCAAGTAACTGACACACTGTCCAGTACCATGGAGCTGTTACCAGCTCTGACACTTTAGGTACTCATCTCGCAGGTTCCCTTCTTCCCTTTGCCATGGGCATGCCCATCTTCCTTAACAGCTCAGTATTTCTTTTCCTGGGGTACTCCTTCCACAGACAGACTCTGAGTTGCCTGAGGGCAGCTGCCTTATTTCTACAGCTCAGTAACTTCTGTGGCCTAGGAGAGTTCACCCTGGGAATAGGCACTTCCCCCAAAGTATGTCAATATAAACTCTATAAAGGCTTTGTTGTTTTTTCTCTTTGTTTTTTTCTGTCTCTAGGGAAACATCCAGATAACTGAGTGCCACTTCCTGGAGAATGACTGGCTGACTGCTCTGGCCTGCCATCAGCCCTGCTCTTGTACATGACACCACTGCTGTGATGCTGTTAGGGCTGTGACGGGACATGGGCCGAAGATACTTTTCCTGAAACATAGGGTTGTTCGTCAGGTACTCAGCTCATGTCCCATAAGATGCTTCTACCTCCACCCTGGGAATTGTATGGCTTTCTCTCTATATCTTCCCTCATTCCCCAAAAGACAATATATCATTTGCATGGCACTGCATAAAAATGAAATATATTGAATGGGCCCTACACTCACCAGATTTTAAAAATTACGTTAAAGAAAGATACCTGTTGATAAGTATCACTATAACACATGTTGTATCTGTTTCCAAGCACTATTGCAACAAAGAACCACAAACTGGGTGCCTTAAATATCAGAAATACATTTTCTCACAGATCTGGGACCAGAACCTGAGATCAAGGTTTTGGCAGGACTGGCCTTTTGGGGGGGCTGTCTGAGTCTCTTCTGTGTCTCCCTCCTAGATTTTGATGGTTTGCTGGCCAACTTTGATATTCTTTGGCTTATAAAGAATTATCCAGGTCTCTGCCTTCATCCTCACATGATGTTTTCCCTGTGTGTGTATATCTGTATCCAAATATTCTCTTTATATAAAGACACTGGTCCTATTGGATTAGGGGTCCACCCTGCTCTCACATGACCTCATCTTATCTAATACTAATGCCTGCAGTGACCCCATTTCCAAATAAAGGTCAGGCACTGGGGGTTGGGTTATGGAAATATGAATTTTGGGTGGTCACTATACAACCCATAATCATATCCCACATAATTATTTAATGTCTGTACATTCAAGTAGGTGTAAAAAAATCTTTATAATTATCTGAGCAAAGAATTTAATACTATTTTACGAATACACTTTTGCAGAATTTAATGTGCTTTTATCTTAGAAATGCAACTGCCAAATTTATTGAATAAAGACTGTAGATTTTTGTTTTTCTTTTTCTTTGGAAACTTATCAAGATTGGCTCATGTTTTTAGCAAACCATGTCATTAACACTGTGCATAGTATCTAGGTAACCAAGATAACTTACTTAAGACAACTTCATTTCTAGAAAAATATCAGACTCCTACTGTTACAGAGCTGAGACCAACTAAGAAACTGAGACAGCATGAAGACCACCTTCAAACATTGATTCTTGCCATCAAGTCAGTAAGATTTCAGACATGTTGCTCAGAGTAATAGTAATGAGTTTATTGAAGGGATAGGAAAAGGGTAACGGGACACTCTTAAGGGAGAGAGTGAGTTGTCTCAGAAGGACAGGTATAGTGTGCCTTTCCTGCACTCCGGTTTTATTGGGGATCCCAGAGAAGTTTCCAGAGAGTCCCGCCTAGGTCCACCTCTTGACTTTTGACTTACAACAAGATGACAGACTTTCAAGTCCCCACTGTTATGGCAACTTTAGGTCATCTTGGCCCATGCTGAATGGTTTCAATTAGATTCATAACCATATATTCCTACAGATTTTATGGTTAGGAGGAACTAACCTTATCTCTCAGAATTTCAGGATCTGATCACAAAAGTTTCCTCCTTCAGGTTAACTTGGGTTCCTCTTGTCAACATTATCTTGGGCCTGCATTTTTCCTGCAAATAGGTAGTCTGCTGGGGAATGCCACATATCACTTAGGCCAGGCAGGGCTTTAGGTAAATTGCTCCTTGGAAAAGAAAGCATGTGAGGGTCAATACAGTGGACCCAGTTTAATAGAATTATATTCTTAACTTCATGTTCCCACCATCCTCATCTATCTGTCCCCTAACACTACTAATGTAAAAATTATCTGAAAAATGATTTTTATGTTTTTACATAATTGTTCTTTCTGAGGTTGAAAGAATGGATGACAAAGTGTTCTCAGCCAGGTTTATAGACATTTTCTTCTGCAAATATAGAATATACATGTGATATGTGTATATGCAATATATACATACAGTGTACGTATAAAGTCATGTGTTTGTGGCATCTGAGAGTTACAGAGCATAATCATAGTGTGAAATGCTTTCAAGATTCTACTATTATCTTTTAAAATTCCTATGAAAATTGATAATATTTTGTGAGCCTCACTCTGTCATTCTTATTCAGTTACTAAGGGTTCTGTTGGCTCTGCCTAATTTTGTTCCCAGGGTTTCAGAAGCCCAGCATTTTAATCAAGTCTTCAGTTAAGTGTTTTTAATGTGGGAAATGTTCCTCGGAGTTTAAATACAATCACAGTTTAAAAGAGTAAGGTTTAAATTCCTTTTATTTAACATATGTACCCATATGCACGTCAATTTGAAAATTTCTGATAGTAGCTGTCAGAAAGAGTTTTGAATATTTAATGAAGGGTTCTAAATTTCATCTGAGTCCACAGATGAACAATTTAGGAGGACAGAGGCTGTCTGTTCTTTGTTGACTTTCATGGATCAATTGGTGTGCAAATATTGAATTCTTTCCTGCTATAATAACAGGCAAATAGCAGCAAACCTACTTTCCAGAATAGCAAAATTATGAAATACTCAAAGGATTGTGTGCATATGTGTAGAAATCTTTTTTTTCCAATTCAGAGAAATACAGGACAAGCAGGAGCTCAGTAAAGATTGAATCAAGAATCTAAATTTTTCAGAGCTAGAAGGATCCTTAGTGATTATCTAGCCTATTCCACCTGCTTCTCATCTACCTCTTTTTCAAATAATGATACTTTGGCCTCCAGAGATAAACTGAAATGCTGGTCATTATACATATTCTTGGTTTATTTTGAGGGATCCCCCCCCCAAAAAAACAGTGTTCTTGCTGACATGGTGGCACACACCTGTAATCTCAACAACTCTGGAAGCTGAGGCAGGAGGATCACAAGTTTGAGGCTAGTCTGGATAATTTAATGAGACCCTCAGCAACTTAGCAAGATCTTGACTCAAAAACAAACAAACAAACAAACAAACAAACAAAAAAAACTAGGGATGTAGCACTGTAGTAAAAGCACCCCTGGGTTTAATCACCTACCATAAAACAAAAACAAAACAGTGTTCTTACATTTTCATTCAGATTTTTTATTAAGATATCTTTGAGGACTTTATCTGGGAACAACCAGATGGCTGCCAGGAAAGTGTCACTTTCAAGAACTCTTTACCTCCCCACCCCCAGCAGAACTTCATGTATTTGTTTCAAATGTCATAGTTTATTAAATAGCACTAGTTCATTCCTAGTAATTGCATTGTAAATTATCCTCTTAGGAGGACCCATGAGCTAAAATTCTCAAAAAATTCAGATCTAGGATATTTGTCATTTTTTCAGAGTTAATTGTTTAATTTTGCCTTATGAAAAATATGATTATGCTTCCTTCTTTACTTTGGCTGCTAGGAAACCCAGATCGAATTTGTGAAATTAATCATCTTAATAGGACAGAGGATATTGTGACATATTTTACAAACTAACTTTGGTCTTATTTTATTTTTCCAATCTTTTTTCCTTTCTTTAAAATCTCTATTTCTGCCTTTCCTTGTTTTTAATCTTATTAAACTGTAGGTTTTCCTTTTTAAATTTACATAAAATGTTTTTCCTTGGATTTTCTATTCATAGAACACCAAAGTCTGCTAGGAACTGAACAGACCAACCTTAGAAATTGTGGTGAGACATGATGGAAAGATAAAGGATCCAATTAAATGTTTTTATTTTAGAATTAAAACAAATTTAGAGGCCCTACTATGTAGAAAGGATATGAAAAGAATGCAGTATTTACGTGAGTTCTAAAGTTCCTCAAATGAGAAAATATAATGCTTAATGTGTATTAAAAATATAGTATACCTTAAAATAAAATATTAAGAGTGAAATTAATCTAAAAGCTTGTGTAGTAATATAATAACCCTGGATGGGGATTATAGGCTCAGATAGGAGTTGAACATTAAGGTCATGGTATGACTCAGACCCAGAGATATCTAATATTTGGTTACTTCCTCCTGTGAGTTTTATAGTCCTTATTAAAAAATATAACATTCCATCTGTATTTTGAACAAGAATTCAGTCTGAGTTATAGCCAATCATTCTGGTTGTTAAGGATAATTTTTAGAAAACTGAGGAGGACCCCCCAAAATTTATTTGGAAAGGTAGCTTCAAAATTGTTTGGGATGATTCAGTTTTTTTTAATGAGTTAATAAACTTTAATCAGAATTAAGTTTACAAATGTTTATGAGAATCAAATCCATGATATTTATAGTTTGTGTAAAAAGTGGCACATATTTGTGTTTTGGGTGTATATAATATTTAAGAGGATTTGGCATATTAAAATATTATCCTTGTGATCCTAATGTAAAAGGTATAATTAAATGAATGGTTTTTACTTGTAAGCCAAGGTTTGAGCCATTTGGAGCCCTGGCTTATCTCCTCCTTAATGCCAGATACTACAAACAAGTGACTGATTAGTGCAGCTCAATTACTTGCAAGTAAGCAGGTAAATGCTTCATTTCTGGGTGCTCTTTCCTTCTGGGCACCAGCTATTTCATTGCCCTATGTCCTTCTACAGCTATGTGAGTCTCTTCAGTTCCAGATGCCCATGGCCAGTCCTCTCTCCTTTTTAAAACCATGCTTTAAGGGCAACATCACCTTGGGGGACATCCCTCTCCTCCTCCACAGACAAGATGTTCTCCCAGCTTTGCACTCTCTCCCCTGAAATGTGTATGCCTGACCATCACTGGTGGGTTTACACATCCATAAAGGCATAGACTGTCACTTAGGCCCAGCTATGCCTAACAGTTGCTTAATACTTGTTAAATTGAGCTAACCTAATGAGTTCAGTTGACATAAATTAAATGTACCAACAAGCCAGATAATAGGCTATTCATGACTTCACTAACTCTCATTTGGAGTCTCATAAAAATCATAACAAATCCTGAGGGATTTAAAATATAATCTAGTTTTGTTTCTTTCATTATTTTTGTGTTCTATGAAGAATGCAAATTTGAAGAAAGTCTTCTATAGCCTAAATAGCACACAAAAGCCACTAACTGATTCTTGGGAAAACCCTTTCTTTTCAGTTGAATAAACTGAAGATTTTTTAATTATAAAAATATGTGTTTGATTTCTCTTGAAAAAGCAAGATCAGCCACAAAGGTTTCCATTCTTTAAAAAATGCCAATTTTCTGGGGACCCTCTCCAATTTATCACAATCCTTGCCACCCCTTACAGTTTCTTTGATTCAGAAAGTAAGTATCAAGATGGCATTGAAATCCAGAAATTATGGCTCTGTAGATGGTAGCACACCTAGCCTTCTTGCTTCATTTATGTTAACTTGCCTATTACTGAAAGCAATTAAACTTGAGGACCTCACTTTTGCAATAAATGTATTTTAATGAAGTATCATGGGAAAAACACTGTTTACAAATCAAACTCCATATGTATATAACTTACTGTTGAGAATAATCTATTGTAAATGTAAACTAATTCTTTTGGGCATCAAATAAGCACACTTGTGCATATTTCTATTGCCTTGACAAGAGCTACTTGTTAACTTGTTATATGATTCTGAGAGCTCAATTTGTTGTATTAAAATTCTGTAAAAATTTATGCTTTTTATTATTATGACATTTACTTTTACTTTTGAGCTCAGTGTGATCATTCTCCCTTTGCAAGTAATGTGTTTAAGATTATAGCCCTTATAAAAATTTTATCATAAAAATAAAATCATTGCCAAAACAAGTTTAAGACTGAGCAACATCAAAAATTTTGGCTAGAGACATGGTGAGTTCATTAGAGCTATAGATCCCAACATTCTTTCTTCCTAGAGAGTTTTCCTTTTTGTTTATTTTTAAAAGCTTTATTGGCATATAATTTTCATATAACTTTTACCAAGGGTAAATGTACAATTCAATGATTTTGAATTTCAGAACATTTACTTCATCCCAAAAAGTTCCTTTGTGCTCATTTGCAGTATTATTTCGGTTCCCACCTTCAGCCCTAGGCAAGCT